GACAAGGCTGTATATTGTCACCCGATGTATTTAACTTATATGCAGAACACATCCTGCGAAAGGTAGGAATGGAAGAATCCCAAGCCAGTATTAAGATTGCCAGAAGAAATATCAACAACCTCTAATATGCAGATGATACCACTCTGATGGCAGAAAGTGAGGAGGAACTAAAGAACCTTGTAATGAGGGTGAAAGAGGAGAGCACAAAAAGTGGTCTGAAGCTCAACATAAAAAAAACTAAGATCATGGTCACTGGTCTCATCACCTCCTGGCAAATAGAAGGAGGCGGTGAGAGATTTTACTTTCTTGGGCTCCATGATCACTGCAGATGGTCACAGCATCCACGAAATTGAAAGATGCCTGCTTCTTGGGAGGAAAGCGATGACAAACCTAGACAGCATCTTAAAAAGCAGAGACCTTGCCTTGTTGGCAAAGGTCCATATAGTTGAAGTTATGGTTTTTCCAGTAGCAATGTATGGAAGTGAGAGCTGGACCATAAAGAAGGCTGACCGCTGAAGAATGGATGCTTTTGAATTGTGGTGCTGGATGAGACTCTTGAGAGTCCCCTGGACTGCAAGGAGATAAAACCTATCCATTTTGAAGGAAATCAACCCTGAGTGCTCACTGGAAGGACAGATCCTGAAGCTGAGGCTCCAATACTTTGGCCATCTCATGAGAAGACTCCCTGGAAAAGACCCTGATGGTAGGGAAAGTGCGAAGGCAAGAGGAGAAGGGGACGACAGAGGATGAGATGGTTGGACAGTGTCATCGAGGCCACCAACATGAATTTGAGAGGCAGTGGAAGACAGGAGGGACTGGCATGCTCTGGTCCATGGGGTCATGAAGAGTCAGAACTTGAATTACGCTAGGCCCATTATGATCCTTTTTAATACATAAGACCAGAGCTTATAACTTTGTATACATACTGGGCCAGTTTAGCTGTCGTTGTAATCCTGAAATCTATGGGAATCTGTTACAAGTTCTGTTCCAGTGGAATGCAGCTCATTCGCTTCCCTTTGCAGCCATAATGCGTATCTTGTTGCCTAACAGTAGGTGTTCGTAAGATTGTTTCCCTCACTTTTACAGTGCAAAGGTTCACACTGTAAACAGTGGCGTGCCTTTCTATTTCCAGCAAGCCAGGTGGCAAACCTTAAATTTATTTGGCAAGGAGTAAGATAACAAGAGGGATGTGGTGGCGCTGTGGGCTAAACCGCAGAAGCCTATGTGTTGCAGGATCAGAAGACCAAGCAGTCGTAAGATCGAATCCACATGACGGAGTGAGCTCCCGTTGCTTTGTCCCAGCTCCTTGCCAACCTAGCAGTTTGAAAGCATGCAAATATGAGAAGATAAATAGGTACCACCTCGGTGGGAAGGTAAAACGGCGTTCCCTAGTCACGCTGGCCACGTGACGACGGAAACTGTCTTCGGACAAGCGCTGGCTCTATGGCTTGAAAAACGGGATGAGCACTGCCCCCTAGAGTCGGACACGACTGGACTAAAAATGTCAAGGGGAACCTTTACCCTAAGATAACAAGACAATAAGAAAGCAAACTTCGGATGTCTTTTTTAGAAGTGGGGGGCTAAACAATAATGGCCATGGCAGGAGAATGGTTTTAGCTGAGAAGAGCATTGAAAGCTGATTCATTAAACATTGGTAGATAAGGGGAAGGAACAGAAGAAGTAGAGGGAATGCTACCTAATTACTCTGCTACTTTAGCTGCTTGTCTTTAGCATGCCACTGTGCAAAGCTCAAAGTTCATCAAGATCTTGGAATGGTTACAGAACATCCTGCACATTTGGGTCATACTCTTTATAAGTAAGACATACAGTGTGTTCTGTCATGGCTGATAAAAGTAGCACGTGCTGATGAGAAAGCATTAAAAGTTGTCTTTTGTTCTACTTTCTCTGTCAACAGCCGTAAAACCCACCCACCCCTATTTTTTTTCTTGCAAGTCAGTGCATGTGCAAACACTTATAAATTTCTATTAAGGTATGTTGGTGCTGTTCATTATCATCTTTTAAATCAGGGCAGCCCTCAAGAGCTCAAAGGTGACCTTCTACATCCCTGACTTAAAAAAAAAAATACAAAAATTTGCTCAAATGTACTACACTTGTTTTAAACAGTCCCCTTGTGCCCTCTTGGGACAGATGGGGCAATGTTACCATGTTTGCCCACATCCCCAAGTGTTTTGGCACCAGAAGGGCTATTTCAGTTTGTTGTTGTTGTTTTTTAATTTATAAGAAACAGTTTGGAGTGTTGTGTTTTTTTAAAACAAGAAATATTTTGGAGTGTGTCTCTAGCTTTTAGCTGGTCAAAAAGAAGACCAAATTCTTTAAACAATTCTTTTTTTAGTAACTTCTTAAAAACTGGGAGGGAAGGTGCATGGCGAACATCTACTAGTAATTTATTCCAAAGATATGAGGCACAGATATATATGCTCCACTGTGCTATTTTTTTAAAAAAAGTTTTTTTAAATATAATTCTGTGGCAGAATTCACACATAGAGGTTAAGTTGAAGTGAAGAGCAAGGTCTTATCTTGAGTTAAATGCTGTGTTTTCTTCCCTTCACTAAGGTGCTCCCTCTAGAAAACAAGATGAAGACCCCTCAGCACTTCCCCATCATTCTTTATGTGGGGATGGCAATTGTGACCATGGTCTACCTCAGCCTGGGAACGCTGGGATACTTACACTTTGGAGCTAACATTCGTCCCAGCATAACTCTCAGTCTGCCAAACTGTTGGTGAGTTTGGATAAGATGCCTTATTTCGATGCCGGGAGGTACTGAGTGGAAATGGATGGATGCAAAGGGATAGGTCAGAACATGCCTGGGCCCTTCTGTGCTTGCTCTGTGGCAGACAGTTATTTGAGCATGTCCTGTGTGCGTGCAGGGGTGGGGGGTGGGGAACCTATGTTCAAGTGGTAAGGCTCTGTGAGAGTTTTCCTCATCCTTTGTAGGCCTCACCTTGTTCAATGGCTCACTTCTTTTCAGTCTTGTGAAAAACATAGGACAGAGTGCTGGGAAGGCACTGGTGTCTTTTTGGCTTCTGGCCAAAACAGCTTTTAACAGTGCGCAGTGCCCAGTGCCCAATGCCTATCATTACCATGTGCCACCTTGCTTTTGCAAATGACTTGCCTGCTCATATCAGACTGCCCTCACATCGCGTATCTAGCTGATCTCTTCCTTCTTGGTCATGATACTGATTAGGCAGAACTATTTAAAGCATCTGGTTTCACATGTGGGAATCACCAAGGGAGTGTCATCTGAAAGTTCAGACAGTGCTAATGACAGGTTGCACCTAACATTTGGGATTCAGTTTCTAGAAGTCCTTTAGAGCACCAGTTCCCTACTTTGGGTAACTCCATGTGTTCTTGGACTGCAATTCCCAGAAGCCTTCACCACCAGCTGTGTGGCTAAGGTTTGTGGAAGTTGCAGTTCAAGAGCACCTGAGTTACCAAAGGTTGGGAACCATTCAATTCCCTTACATGATTATGGAAGTGGCACTTCAGAAAAGTTACTTTTCAAACTCCAGGCAGTGCCAGAGTTTTCTTCCCTTGCAGAGCAGGGAGCTGTTTGCTTGTAACGTTTATGGGGATGACTCTTAGCCCAGTTTGTTTATTAGGCTCTTGGGTCTCCCTTTCCCTTTGCTGCTCGATTGAATGTCATGAATCTCAGAGTGGCTATTGTCAAAAAAGGAAATTGCCAAATCAGAAAGGAGAATGAGACAGTGAGAGCACGCTACATAAACAAGCTCCAGTGTATTTCTAAGGGCTTCAGCATCGGACTTCATAACGCACTATATGGTTAACCCAGTTGTCTGTAACGTCCTGTGTATCTAAAATAGTTGTGTCCCATGACATAATCTGATTTCCTTCATAGAAACAACTCTTAGCAATTCTTTCACAGCCAAATCTGCCTCAGAGACAGATCATCACCCCCACTGTGGCTTGCAATTTTAAGTAATTAACAGCAATTGATAGTTGCATTCCTGTGTTAACAATATAGTTCGACCTTGTGTATTGTCTAGATTCTTACCTGGTCTGAAGCGGCTATATGTATAAATGGCATGATGGCATAGCTTGAGTGTTCTGTGTGTCTGAGATAGTGGGTTTTGACCCATTAAAGCTCACACAGAAACAAAGCTTTTGGTTTTGAAGGTGCCATCATTTTTATTCTCCACTCTCAGTATTTATTGAATGGACTATCTTCTGAACAGGCAGATCTTTCCCCAGAAAAAATGAATGTGCTGTAGTGTTCAGGGGAAGGTTGCATTCAAATCAAGGCAATGTGTGTGAGTTTATTTGATTGTTGTGCAACTGTGCGAAGTTTTAAAATGAACATTGGCTTTCAGATGGAATTGACACTTAAGCTGCTCTTAGTTCCTGTGTGGTGGCGGGTTAATCCGCAGAAGCCTCTGTGCTGCAAGGTCAGAAGACCAGCAGTCTTAAGAGTGAATCCACGCGACGGAGTGAGCTCCTGTCGCTTGTCCCAGCTCCTGCCAACCTAGCGGTTCAAAAGCATGTAAAAATAGGAGTAGATAAATAGGTACCTCCACGGTGGGAAGGTAACAGCGTTCCGTGTCTAGTTGTGCTGGCCATGTGACCATGGAGGACTGTCTGCAGACAAAAACACTAGCTCTACGGGTTGGAAACGGGGATTAGCAGCGCCCCCTAAAGTCAGACACGACTGGACAAATTGTCAAGAGGAACCTTTACCTTTACCTGTGTGCATAGAATATTAGAATTGCATCTTTCATCAGTGGTTGCCCTCTCATTAAGCACTTGTCAAAAAACTCATTCAGTTTCTTTTTAGCATCTGGCTACAATATGAACTACTGTAGTAAGCCCCACTCTAAAGTGTGGTTTGAAAGATGAGGATTATGGCACCCTCTAGTGGATGCTTTGCTTTCAAAGTGTTACCACTTTCCAAAGTGTTTTGAAGATGGAAGTGCAAAGCCTGAATTTAGTTTAACTGTGCACATTTTGGTGTGAAGCTCATCTCACATTAATCAGAGCCAATACAGGGACTTAGTTCACAGATGTATCAAAGCTGTATCGTTCATTAAATGGCAAGGAGCAATCAGATTCAGTTTATTTGTAAGTTCATGACCAGCTTAATTGAACAAAAATGTTATCTACACACTTAGCATTTGGTCTCCAGGCCTAAAGAAAGTTTTCTGGCCCATTTCTGCCTAGTACAAAGCACACCTTTAGGCTGTGCCATTTAATCGTAAATACTAATAGGCAAACTCATATGACAGCACCTACCCCCCCCCCAAAGAACATGAGTCTGAAATATTCAAGCAAAAAACCCCACAAACCTGACATTTTCTGTTGCAGAGGTTCATCTTAGCAAAAGTTAAAAAGTTGGTGTCAGGGATGCTTCTTGCAGCTGAAGCACATTTGTTCCAGATTTAACTGTGTATAAGTAGTAAGTGAACACAACACTAAGATTCCCTTAGACCTGAAATGTACTTTAGTCTATGATACAGAAAGGTATGGCCCAGGGCAATAGGTTGAGGCAGCGTGAACCAGGAAGAGCCATCAAACAGTGCTGAGTTGGAGTCAGTTCTGTGCCTCCATTGCTACGCTTGCCCTGTTTGAGGATCTTCTATCCCCCATATCTTTTAAATGACATTCGCGGTATATGGTGAACACAAAACCTTTTAAAAAGCACCAGGATTCTGGCTCATGAAGCACTTTTTAATCTCTTGGGTTATTACTTGGCTGATGAACAAGAACTGCAGGAAGGAATCCTTGTATGATGTAACGCAACATTTCATGTCCCTCTCCACCCATTCTGGTATCTGTTTTGCTTTATTATTTGCCCCATTTTCCCAACAAGCTTGCATTGCAAAAGGTCAGAGAAGAACAATAGCGAAAGTAGAGCACAGGCGCAGTGCCCTTTCCTGGAATATGATAAACTGGATCAACACTTCTGGTTAAACCCACAAAATAGTGCTGTGATGCAGAACACTCCCTAGCATTAATTTGCATTCCTCTATCTCAATAGGAAGAATCACTGGGCATGTCCAGTGGCATCTCACACAAACACGTATGTGTTCTTTTCTCCTTAAAGATATGACCTCCTTAAGGCCCATTAGCTTTGGCTGCCTGCTACCAAAGCACGGTGGCTGAACAAGAGCAGAGAGGCTGTCATCACACCTGCAGTCAAATGTTTAAAACAGTTCACAGGAGCACTAATTAAATCACAACTAATCACCCATCTACAGAAAAAGACAAAAGCCCATCTCACAGCCATAAATACTCCACTCCCAAGTCAACTACACCAGAGCACAGAGTGCTGTTCTCTGAAGATGCCGGCCACAGAGACTGGCAAAACGTTAGGAAGAACAACCTTCAGAACATGGTCCAAGAGCCTGAAAAACCCACAACAACCATTAGATCCTGGCCGTGAAAGCCTTCACAAATACATTAAATCACAACCCTTTGCTCTGTACTCCCCCGCCCTGCTCCCATGTTCAGTTATTATCCATATCCCTTGATGATGCTTGTGCTTGACTGATCATTTTGTCCAGGTCTTCTCTTTCCAGAAGTGTATCCACAGGCTTTTGGTGCCCCTTGTGGTGGGTGGGGTGGATGTCACAGCCACCAATACTGAGCTGAGTTGGGGATGACAGGCAGGGCTAGGGGACCAAAGTCACATCTTGGTACTTCTTGATTCAATAGCATCCTACTAGAGTCTCCCCTTTGAAATTCCTTTGTTGGAGGATGGCCACTTTCAGGTCGCAGGTTGCTTGCTTGCCATTTTTTTGGCCAGGATTAGGACTCATAGTGGCTTTCAAAGTCATTAAATACAGTATCACTAAAACCTAGTAAGATACACATATTCAAGTACAATAAATCCATGATAAGATGAAAACATACCTATAATCAAAACACATTAAAATATCTCAGTTAAAATACTAACAGTAATTCACTTCAAGAATAAAAGAAATTTGCCCTGTTCAGTCAAAACTTTATCCTTAGGAAGTTGTCAGTAGTCAGTGAATAGAACTTTCTTTTGGTAACCTTTTCTTAAAAATAAAAATAAAAATTAAACACTCAAACAGTAGCTCCTAAAATAGATTGCCTTTGAGTCAAGCTGATGAAAGAGTAAGCAGCAATGACGTCAGGATAGCGTAGATCTTACACCCATGGCAGTGCTGGCAATTATTTGGCTGCGTAAGGAAAGGAATAGTCAAAAGCTGTGAAATATTCATGACTGGAGCTGATAAAAATGACTTTGAAGGTATGCGTCAGCTTTTTAAAAGGAAAAAAAAACAAAGTTGGGTCAGAATCATGCTTACTGGGGAATAGATTGAAAAGGTTTCTTAAATATCTTTTAAAATGAGCACTGAAACTTAGGAAAACTAAAAAAAAAGTGGAAAGGCTTTGTATTGCTGCTACAGATTTTTGGGACCTTGGCTTGTGCTTAATGCATCGGAAGCTGCCTTATACTGAGTTTAGACCATTGGTTCACCTGGGGTGCATGATGTTGACACTGATTGAGGCTTTCAGGCCAGATTTTTTTTACTGTTCCTGCCTGGAGATGCTGGGATGGAAGCTGGATCCTGCTGTGTTTCCTTCCGATGAAGCTACAATCCATCTCCATTCAGTAAGATGCATGAATTACTGCTGATAGGTATCCTTGGAGCACTGAATCTGGTTTTTGACACAGAAACAGCCCAGATATTGCAGCCTTTATGACTTTTTCTCCCCAATGCCCTGCTCTTAGGCTTCTGGAGGAAAACCAGGCTTGCTTAGTGCCGGTAACTTCAAGCAGTCAACCAAAGAACTGCAAGTTTTGCCTGGACTAGAGCATTGAAGGCCTTTAGCAACTGCTTGGCCCTCTCCCAAAATGACTTCTTCTTTTCCTACCTCATTGCTTTTTTGTGGTTGTTCACTTGCCAAAAGAATTTAACACTTTTGAATGCTCTCTAAAGGGAATATTAATGACATGCAGATTGGTTGTATTTGCATAATTGTGACCACAAAAATAAAGGCTTCCTTGCTGAAGTGATAAGGCATGTGGATTTGTTTGTGGTATACGTCGCCCTTGGCTCTGTGGCTCCAGATCAGAGGTTCAAAGGCATTAGCTCATAATTACAGCTGACTGCGGATCCTTCTAATAACTTAAAATGACTTCCAAAATTGTGTAACTAGCCTTGGAGGCAGAACCGCATTTTATTTTCAACATGGAAGAATTGTGCCAGTTTCGAAGGGCAAACCTGCTTGGAAAGTTCCAGAGCCCCCTGCTTCAAAACCTACCCAACAGGCAGGGCAATGCCATCTTCTACTGGCTTCCATTGCATCAGTGGGAGGGATGGGCAACATGTGGCTTTCCAGATGTTATTGGAGTGCAACATCTATTGTCCCTCATCATTAGCTATGCTGCCTAGGACCAGTGAATGTTGGCGTGCAAACAAACTGCTCGGCTTTGATCTGTGCAATCCAGACTATTTTATTGCACAGCATTCATTCATAGAAGGTGACTCTAAATGAAGTTGCAGTTAGTAGGGGCAAGATGGATACAGCAGCCTCCAAATTCAGTGGCTTATCCTTACTAGATCTGTTGAGCTGATTGCTGAATGAGTTAACACTTAGGTAAATGGCACTGGTTCAATGGTTCTGCTCTAGTTGAGACTGTTGGTGGATTTAGGATGCTATTTGTTAACATTTGAAGTTAAGATATTATCAGAGTCCCTTGTTGTGAATAAATGGCACATGCTAGATCCTCTCAAGCTAATTTTGAGGCGCAGCATCCAGGCATCTTGCAGTCTGTCTCCTCTGCTGCCGTTTGTTCTGCCAGCTGCTGAATTCCTCAGGAAAGATCCATGGAAAAATCTCCAAAAATCATTGAGACTAATTCACAACTGAAGTATCTACAAGGACCCATGAGATACTTTTCTCAAGAAGTAGTCCCTTCTGCTTTTTCTCTGTCCCTTCCACCTCCACCCACCATCAGTGAAGATTATAGGAATTCTCTTCCAGGAGGTTTACAACTGCTGGAAATGCAGTGAATTCACTGTGGGAGACACAGAGTGATCTGTTTGCCCGTGGGCAGCTTGGGAGCTGGACTCAGCTATGCACACTTTTCCCTGCTGTTGAGAGTTAAGCATCTCTTCTGTGCGATCCCCCTGATGTATTGTTTATCTGATTGTAGGTTGTTGCACACCAAAAGGGGAAAGAGGCACTCCAGAGAGGCTGGGAAACTGCACGAGAATGTAGAGATTCCTCATAGTATTTCCCCACCCCTTATTTATATCTTCAGCAGATAAAACTATTCTCCTTTATCTTTAATAGTTTTAATTCTTGGAGCTTTCGCCTTTTCTCCCCTTGTCAACCAGTGGCTCAAGATTTTTGGTTATTCTTTTCTGGATGGCTTCAGATTTGGGGTTTGGGGAAGGAATTTGCTTCCACAACTGTGTTCCTGAATATCTGATTGCTTTTTAAAGCCATCAAAATTAGTATTCTTGACTGCATCAGGGGTAGCGAACTCCATACTTTAGCCATGGGCTGTTTTTGTTTGTCATAAATCTGTTGCTATTCAACTTCATAGTATGACGGTCATCCCCAGCGTATAATGAAGAAGTAGTTCCCTTTGGTCTCTTCCACACCCTGTGTAATTAAAATGTAGGAACCAGAGTTCTTTGCAGTACTTCAGGTGTGGCTGCAGAGTTCTATAAGGCCATGATGATACTGGCAGTTTTAGTGCCCACTCAAAACAAACATCTCAGATTCTTTAGAATCCAGGAAGTTGTGTTTAATGTCAATGGTTCTCTTGGCTCTGCTGAATGCAGTGCATGCCCTGGGAAGTCCATGCCTTGTTGCCCAGACACAGAGTGATCTCGCCAGGGCAAGTGCCTTTCAGTTTTCATCTGCTTTCTGCAGAGCTTTTGATCAGAAATAGCAATCGTTCACCACTGCGAGCAGAAATTATGTACCAGAGTCCTGGCTACACTACAGGTAGGTCGTCACCCGTGGTGCAGCTGGGACTGCAGGAATATTCTGAATTTGGTTTCTCTGCAGGATGAGATCACTCTTGCATTTCGCTCAAGTTAGCTTCACCTGGGATGCTGAGTGGGTTTAACTGTTTTTTTTTGCATTGTTTGTTTACTTGTTCATGTGTTAATTTCATTTTGCAGGATGTACCAGTCGGTCAAGCTCCTCTACTCCACTGGGATCTTCTTCACTTACGCACTCCAGTTCTATGTCCCTGCAGAGATCATCATCCCTACAGCCCTCGCACAGGTCCCACAGCGCTGGACCGTATGGTTCAATCTGCTCCTGAGAGCATGCCTTGTCTGCGTCACATGTGAGTAAAAGGCCAGCACTGGGGAATCGTATTTTCCCTTTCTGTTTGATGGGAAAGAAATGTCCAGACAAGTGGAAGTCCACCAAGGAGGATGCCGTGTCCTTATGGCATGGTTCACATTTGCCAAGTGAGAAGTCTGTTCTCATTATCTGTCTGAAGTAGACAATGCTGCTGAGGCATCACTCTAAATTCCTAAAAGCTCTCCTTGTTAATGTGAAGAGAAGCATGTCAAGATGGATTCCTATAACAGAACTCACTTGTGAAATCTGCTTTCACCCCAGTGTCTACAGATAGAGTTATCTGCAGAAACTGGATTCAGAGTTCCCATTAGCAGTACTCCAAACATGGGACCCTGCTGTTGGGAGGCAGACAGGGGATGGCCCTATGAGTTACATAATGTGCTCTGGAAGGATGAGGAAACCTAGGGATCAGTGTAGAGCAATAGTTCCCAACCTTGAGTAGCCCAGTTGTTCTTGGGATGCAACTCCCAGAAAACCCAGCTGGTAGTAAAGCCTTCTGGGAATTATAGTCCAAGAACAACTGGGTTGCCCAACACTGGGCAACACTGATGCAGAAGATGGTGGTGGAGAGCTATCAGGGAATGAGGAACGTGGTCCTCTAGCAGGAGACTCCACTGGATTTCTGTTTGCAGAAAGACAACTCTGGATACATCTACAGATTAGATGTATCCTAGAGTGGTCGAAATGACTAGATAGGCGGGGTATAAATACAATAGATAAATAAATAAATAAATAAAAATAAAGATGCCTGCCACCACCACCACCCCCGCATTCTAATATTTGCTTGAATAAATGGGCAACCCAGATTTGGTGTCCTCCCTGGAATGGTTGTGTGTGGTGGCCCACCTTCTAGTGACATCTCAGTGTGGCTCATGAGGAAGAGTCGAGATCTCTAGAGTCTCTGTGAGCTTATCCTAGCGTTGACTCCCAGTCTGCCTCCCAGCAGTCATGGCCAGTGTGATCAGCTAAGAAACAGAAGGCAGTAAGCTCTAGATTTTTGTCCAGGATTAATTTGTTGAAGACAAACAGAGGCTGAGAGAAGATTAAAGATTTTAATCTGTCACATGATATCCTAAAAGGAAGCTCAAGCTGTGCAATCAGCCCCCAAACCTTATCATCCTCAAGTTTTAGAGATTGGTTATGACCACTGTTGAGTAGTTTGTTCCTTTTAACTTTTAAGTAGATGCATACACATTTTATTTTTAAGATATTCCCAAAGCTTTGAGAAAGTCTGATTCTTCTTTAAAACCCAACATGCATTCTCTTTGCACCTTATTCTATTGATAAAAATGTGGGGGGGGGGCTTTTGATGCTGCCATTGCTGCAACAGCAAATTTAGCATTGGGGCTGTGGGTGGTAATGTGGGCCCCAGTGGCTTCCAACAGGATCCAATTTTGGCCCTCAGAGTCCCTGGAAGTTGCCCACCCCTTCCCTAGACAAAAACTACTCCTCTGAACCCAAGGCACTTTCTAGCATTTTTTGAGATCTCAACTCTGGAAATACCGAAGTGTTTTTGCTAAAACTGAAGCTGCTGTTACATCAACTGGAGTACTCTAACAAAATAACCAGCTTTCAGGCAAAATGTTCACCATTACTGGATACACTACATATGGCTACTTGTCCCATTCATGTTTTTCATTGCAACAAAATGTATTGTGGCAACCATTCATCACATCTTTTTACCTAGGTTTTGCTGCCCTTTATTTCCTAATTACTTCTGTGCAACTGTATTGCACATTCAGAAGTGCATCTTATTGCTTCTGATAATGTGTTTGTTCATTTGTTTGTTTCCAAAAAGACTGAGTTCCCCAAAGCCAAAGGGTTTGTAAATGGGTATTTAACTTCTCCTAGATTTATTTTTCAGTTAGTTTAATTCCTCCTTTTCCATTTTTATTCTTGAATGACGTACTCTTTCATCCTCTCTCCTTTGAAGTGAAACTATAGGACAGATGCACTTTGCAAGAAGTATTATTAAAATGGAAGGATAGGGGGTGTGTCTGGTGCAGTTGGGGAGTGATTTCTTAGCAGCAGGGGACCTCTCCGCTGTTGGTGATGATGAAACACGTTGGTGATGATGAAACACACAGGTCAACATGGGTTCAAGTAGCTGTTTAGTTGGGAAGGAACAACTCAAGGGCCAAACTTGAAGAACCTTGGAAAGAACAGGGAGTTACAGGGTGACTGGCAGCATGTGGTGAGAAGTGCACACCCACACCCACACCACAATTTGGAAGAATTAGTCATGCACTAGAATGGTGCTGAGGGGAAGGACACAGATTCCTTTCTAGTGGTTCTTGTGTCGTCAGAGACATTGGAGTATAAAGTAACTGAGCTCTCAGCAAGGATAAAAGCTGTTAAGTGGGTTGCATGAATATTAATCGAAATGATCACGGCCTCAGAACAAGGCTGCGTCAGTGCTTGGGCATCCAAAGATGGGGTGCTTTTTTATTTTATTTTATTTTATTTTTGAAGTGTTAAGCAAGTGAAAAGAGAGGGCTAATATTAAAAAAAATCCTCTTTGAATCAATATCTATGGCAAGCGTAATCATTGTTCCCTGAGGGGCTAAAGCTGGAAAATTGGATTTTGCTGCCTCTCCCCCACCCCCCGCCAATAGTTTTAGTAATCCAGTTTACTGGGAGATGTGACAGTCATCTGAGTCATAGAGGCGCTCTCGATACTGGAGTTTTTGACAGCCTTGTTTCTCCACAGGTCCAGCTGAGCATGCACTGATGGGGTTGTGTCTTCAGAGGAGTGAGGGAGGAGGCAACATTATTTACCTGTGGCCTCTGAGCCTACAGTCATAAGTTTTCCCATTGTGGAGAGCAGATTCAACAGCTGTACACTGGGAGACTGGCCCTGTGCATGCCCTCAAAAGAGTAAGCTACATTTTGTTGAATAGGGCTCATTCACAGTTTGTTTGTGTGTGGGGCGGGGTTTACTTTTGTGGATTACAAGTCCAAGAATTTCCACCAACAGTGTGGCCGTACCAGGTGGGTTTTCTGAGGGTTGTAATCCAAAAAAGTAATTTTTTTCCATTCTGCACTAATTTCCAGTCCAATATGCATAGGATTATATCCCAATTGTCTCTCTAAATAAAATAAATTAGAAATCTGGGCTTGAGTCCTATTCAATACCTAGTCTCTTAAGTATTTAAAAAGAAAGAAGAAAAGCTTTAGCTAGAGTGTTAAAAATTGGAGAGAGATTATTCGGTATTTCAAGCAAGATGGTTGTCACATGCTCTCAGATTGAGCTGTGAATTTAAGAGAAGATGGCTAAAATGGCTGGACAAAACTCTCTAGATGAACATATAGGTCAGACCTGAAAAATTCCTTCCCAGTGGATCTTTCCTAACTCCTGGGAGCTGTGAGGAAGGGGGCTGTAAAAAAAGCTTTGAGTTACTATGGAATGGGGAACCCTGGAAAAAAAGCTTTCAGCCCAGTGGCCCAAGGAAAAATACCTGATAAGGCTCCCTGCCCTGAGCCAACCTGAGTTCAGATAGTAATTCAGCAGTGGAATGGGGGAGAAGAAAATCAGGGGTGACAGCTTGAGTCCGTGTGTGTGTGTGTGGGGGGGGGGCGCATAAAGAGGAAATTAGGATTAAACAAGCAGTGGAGTCCTGATTTTTTTTAATACTGTTTCTGAAGGCTTTCTCTAACAAATGGATTAGTGCACGCAAAGCAACCAGAAGAGGTAGCTACGAATTCTGGTGTGACAAAGGTACTAGAAACAATACCTGGTGTGAAATAAACACAATGCTAATCTCTCTGCATTTGGGCAGAAAGAATAGCTAATGGATGCTGGCTGACCAAGCAGTGGTCACTCTTAACAGGGCTGGGATGTACCACTCTTTTTGTGTGTGTAGTGGTGGTGGGTGACCCTAACTTCCAGAATTCTTTAAGAATTCCCCAGGCAGAAATCTGGGTGTTCCAGCCCACAGACCCACACCTACAGACTGTACAGACCCCTACATTTTGCTCATCTGGAGAAGGACCTGACTCTGAGTTTGCATGGCAGTCTCAAATCTGTGCTTCTTGTTAATGTACAAAAAGGGAAAATGCTGTGGTGCTTTCTGGAGTTGTGATCTCACTACCTGTTGGGCCTTAGAGAGTGGGCACCTGCCAAAGAACTACAGCTCCAAGAAAGGATCATGGCATCTTCTTTTTTATATATATGTTAACAGAAAGTACAGGCTCGAGTCAGTGGCACAGCCCTTAGAGATCGGCCCTTCTCCAGCTGAATGAAATGTAAGTGTTTCAGGTGTGGTCTGTGGGCTGGAATTCTCAAAATTCTGTCTGGTTATTCTTGGAGTCCAAAAATAAAGTATTTTTTAAAAAATACCCCAAGTACTAACATATTTAAAAGCACCAATAGAACATCCCTAGGTGGTTCCCCTTGACATTTAGTCCAGTCGTGTCTGACTCTAGGGGGCGGTGCTCATCCCCATTTCCAAGCCGTAGAGCCAGCGTTTGTCCGAAGACGATCTTCCGTGGTCACGTGGCTAGCGCGACTAGACACGGAACGATGTTACCTTGCCACCAAGGTGGTACCTATTTATCTACTTGCATTTTTACATGCATTCAAACTCTCAGAACACACACAGAGAGAGGAGAGAGAGAGAGCGCTGGGGTGCAATGTTCTATGCACAGAATGAAAAAAAACACTTTACAGTTCAAGCCATCAGTTGCTTGTTCAATCACATTTGAAGTTAGTAAGAAAAGGCTGAGCACTTCCACTCTTGCGATAGTTGGGATCATTAACTTTGAGAGACTCTCATAGCATCCTTCATTCCTTGGGAGCTGACCTTGCTTTCCAACAATGTCTTTTCTCGGAATTACAGTCTGGGTTCCATACTGCAAATCCTACTTTTCTGTCTCTCTCTCACACACAAGCACACTCACCCCATCTCTCTCATGCACACATTCCTCAGAGACTCTTAAACACAGCTGAGCTTTTCAAACAGAAAATGTGCTATGACATAT